GACCCAAACCACTTTTTCACTTTGCGCACACTCAAAGGAAAAAGCGACTACTTTAAGAGTATATTGGAAGAAAACGGTAAAGTTTTGGCCAACTATTTTATGACATGGTGATGTAGAATTTTATCTACTTTCATTTGGTACTAAACCCTTCTACGTATTTTGAAATCCATTTTTGAATTAATACGCAATATCGACATCAATTACCCCACTGTGCGACGTGTAGTTGTCGACCAACAACGCGCTCAATGCAGCGGGGATAGCTACTCAAAACTTTTTTCACAGTATCTCGGAGGTCGTGTTTTTGGCGCGTATTTTCAACTGTGGGTTCACCAATAGGCCGATCCCATGAATAACTATTTTCAGTCAGTTGAAACTGTAATTATCAAATAGTTTTTGTCCTGTTATCAATTCGACTTTTCTGGGATTCTAAAGAGTTTCATTGTGGCGAAAATAACTATGTGTGGATTAGGACTACTGGTGAATCCACTTAAAAATAGAACGCGCCTATAACTTTACCTCTGAGGTGGTGTGGAAAAAAGTTGCTTCTCCCTTGCCGCTGCATTGAGCGCGTTGTTGGTCGCGATCTACACAGTGGCCATTTAAATGTGCCACTTATTTCAAATAAAAGTTGCTCAAAATTCGAAAAAACTGCGCAACTTACCTATTTTTTCGGCATTTTTTGCATATTATTTGCAATAAATAAATAAAAAAATTCGTGTGCAAATCGCAAAAAACATGAAATCCAAGATGGCGGACACTTCCCATATCGCAATTATGGGAAACATTTTTATTTTGCGTTCACCTAAACAGGAGACACCTAACTGCGTCAAAAAATTTCTTCCTGGAACTATTCTTATTCTTACGTCGATTTTGGTCTAAAGTGATCGGGCTATATAAAGAACTCAACAGCCATAGAAAATGCACATGACTAATAGTCATTGAAAAAAAGTTGCAATTCATTTTACGCATTAAAAATATGTACACCAACTTCCCTACATACACGTATTCGTACGTACATACACACATATGTGCATATGTACCCTGCAGCGAAACCCAAAACTGGTCAGGAAAAATATTAGTTTACAACTAGAATTTCCTGACTGAAACCGAACTAGTTCGAAAATGACCCGACTTGTACCAAGTACAAAACGATTTATTCATGCCCGGTTTTATTTGACTTCGACAGTTTAATACAATAAAGTACCCGGAATATTATAACTTTTATTTAGGCATATTGAAAACCATTAAAGCGAGTACATATTAAATTATACCAGACCTGTTAAATAATGATTAATAGTCATAATGATCATTAATTGAAGCATTTTTTTTATTACCGTCTAGTGATTAAATAACAATATTAGCATCTTTTTAATGATTAATGATTAATTAAAAATTGTTAGTTAATACATTCATTTCAATTAGACGATTAATTTAATTATTTGATTAATTTCAATTATCAATCAACAAGCCAAACTTCAGACAAAAATTAAGAATATATGATAACTGCAAATTTCAAGCGTCAATTATTTCTTTTATAAAATTTTTAAAAGAAAGAACCGAAATGTGAAAAGTTAATGAATATAATTGAATTTAATGAAAACTTTTATATTTATTTAAGTTCACTCGAAAATGAACTAAAGAATTTATTTTATTTTTATCTCAAATGCATATTTAATATTAAAAAAGATACAAAATATAGTGTTTATTGTACCAGAAAGCTTTTACTTTCAATAATTTTTATGGAAAAATGCATTTAAATTTATTTTCGAAAGTTTGAAACATTTATGTATTTTTTCTTATAATTAATACTCAAAAAATTTTAGACTAATTGTTAGCCAATCTAGTGGCTTCGATCCATAATTGGACTGGTATTTTTCTGCATATTTTGAACTAATCTGACAATTCCCATCTCGTAGGACATCCCCATGTTAAAAATACCAGTTGATTGCAACGAAAAAAGATAGTTGGCTGACTAATTGGGCATGCGGTTCATACTAGTTGTAAAGTAGTTTACAACTGGTACATTTGACTACAGGGTATATATATCCTCATGTATTCTGTTGTACATAGCAATAATAAATTAACACTTGGTGCACTTTATGTCCATTCGACACGCTCGGCCACTGTATGCGCGCCCGAGTTTTGGCATTTTTAATGGACACCAGCAGAAAAAAATGCCTCGATAACCTTAACAAATGACTTCTCCTGCTGTATTTGCCTTTTTTTTTCAGGGACAGTATGAAACCCATTGCACCACACGCTCTACCTTTTTGTCGATTTCTGTGTCTGCAAATCTGGATGTTTTGCCCTTACCGCTTCGTTATCAGATTCGATGGGACCGTGAACGTGACATCAGCTAAAGTAGTGGCTGCACAGATGTTATCGTATTCGCAGATTTCTCATGTGTCGTATTAATAAACTCCAATATTTGATGCAATGAGTTGGAAAACTGGACATTGGATGGTCAATTTAAAGTTCTAATCCGCGTGGAAACCAAACTGAATTTTATTTGTTAATGCGTTTTTGTTAAAGAAGCTTTTAAAACTGTATTGTGGGAAATATTGCATGCAACATTTATCATACACAAGCAGTGTTGCCGCGCCGTCTCAAGAAAATGTATCCCTGACCAAGCCAAAAATGTATCCAAATGCATCCAATTTTCTTTTTTTACATATACATCTCATAATTTGTAAGAAAGCCAAACATTTTCATGAAAAACACATAATTTAACCCATCCTAAGGACTTGGAATACATGTGCATAGAATCAAACATTTGTAATTTCAATTTCTAAAGTACATTTTTTGTGCATAAGTATTTTGCAAAGTAAATATAATAAATAGCAAGTACACTCTAAAAAGAGCATGTACAACTACTACTGAAAAGTATCTATTTTTCAACAAGAATCTGTATAAATATACGTATAAGATGTTCAGTATTTGATTTTGAACTTGAGATCTTTAAAGTATACACATAAATACACATATCGTTGGCTTAGTTCGCAAACGTGCTAAGTCCACTTTTTATGAAAATTGAGATTTTGATACATCATTACCAAAAAAGAAAGTTACCGTAATGTCGTTCTTACTTGTTGTTATGCATTGGTACGCAAATGTGCTAAGTCCAATAAAATCAAGAAAAAATATAAACACGTCTGTCCGTGTACACGATAACTCGAGATATCTCAACGAAATTTGGTATGTAGGTTGCCCTTTATCCAAGGTAAGTTGGTATTAAAAATGGGCGAATCGGGCTGTAACGACGCCCACTTCCCATATAACGGTATTTTCGAAAAATGCAAAAACTGCGACATTTCTGTGAATATTGGATGCAAATTGTTCAAAATTAGTATGTGAAGTAGAATTTTTGTAAAAAATATTATTGTGCAATTTTTGGAAAATGGGCGTGACCCCGCCCACCTATTATGAAGTATATCTCAGTAGCCCATTCACCGATCTCCACCAAACTCGGTACGAGCCTTATTTAGGGTCTAACTAAGAAATCTGTTGAAAATCTTTAAAATCGGGCAATGACTACGCGTATCTACTAAAGCTAATTCGCTTTAAATCGATGATCTCGATAACGTCTCAGCAGAAAATTAGATTATGATACATTTTTGGATAATAGGCATGGCGCCGCCCTCTTATGACCGCAAAAGTGTAACTCGGTAATCGATTTATAAATTTCTTCCAAACTCGGTGC